GATGGCCGGCATGAGAGCAAAGGCCAAAGTTGACATGGAGGGTCCCACTGCAGATGTGTCAAAAAAAGGTGCCCTGCCCCCCGAAATCTATGGTTGGCCGCTTTTGAAGGCAACCCATGGCAACCCAGAAGATGGTGCTTCCTGCTTGAGGACCCCGCCAGCTAGAGATGTGATCTAAAGAAGGCTTGTTCTTGGGGAGTGTACCCAACTGAATGCGAAAAGGCAACCCAAGAGGATTTTGAGCGTAGCGGTGCCCTGGCTTGACACACTTGGACACTAACCAAATGGGTGTCCGCAAGCAGCTACAAAAAGTGGTTGCATGTCGCTGCTTCAAAACGAGTAGAGAGCGAACATGAAACCAACCATCTGGAAGAGGATCCCAAATGCAGCACCTCTTGATATACCCCACATACCTATCTATCCATTAATGTGGTGACCTCTGTTTGCAACAGGGGGGCCCAACACAATTCATTGAAGATGCCTCGTGTGGACCCTAGGCCAGCTGGGATAGGACCTTGGTCAGTCCGTGCAGCGCCTTCAAGGGTCCTTGAAGGGCTGTTCTTGCGTTTGACAGACTCCCACATTCAGATTTGCCGTACCAACTGGCCCAGTCTCGCACAGAGCCAACGGGACTTTTTCTCTGCCAGCCGACGGCTCGGCACCCGCGGCCCATTGGAGTTGTCTCCAAATGTCGGAACGAAACGGCAATTCGCCTGTGGTTCTCCTTTAAGTTCGTCCCAAAAGTGGTCTCCAAAGAGACAAACCGCGTGCAGGTGCCCCAGACCTCACAACTTTTCAGCCAAGTGGCCAAGGTCCAATTGATTGCTTTGCGGGTCACGCAGATTATGTCCACATGGGGGAACTCAAAATGGTGGTTGTCCGTTTGGTTGCCGTATAAACCAAGGTGCATGACAAACGCCTATGGCCCCCACACTTACCACAGCCCACCCGACACAAACAGCCGCCAGGCGGGCGGATGTCGGTGAGGCTCAAGCGCTTGATGGGCATCATGTGCCGGCGCACCTCACAAGTGCGGCTGCTAAGAAGGGGGGGCGAACGTTGGAGAATTCAGAGGAAGCATCCATCCACAGCGAGAGAGAGAGAGAGAGAATCGCAGCAAATCATGTCTTGACCATATCTATAGTGCAATGCAAACGAGTTGTAGCTCTACGCTCGAGGAGAAGCAATTGCGCCCGCTGGGATGTGTGTGTGTGTGTGTGTTTGTATATGCCGGAAAATTGGTTCAGAATGGTCGACCCCCTAAATTGAACTTGAACAACCTCAATTAAACAGGACCCCACCCCACCAGTTTTTCCGACCCCGAAACCGAGACGTATACCGGGTGTCCAAAACAGGTTGGGGGTTGGAACATCGAGGCCACCTCAAACAGGACCCAACGTGACTCAGCCCTCCAAGCTGGAGCCCCAGACTGAGGCCCCGCACCCCGGTCAGGCTCTCGGGTCCATCAACAACAACTCCTCACCGACTCAACACGTGACGCCCAAGAAAAGGATTCCCCTCGACATGGATGTTGGGGTTGCATGTAGTTTTGGAGAGTACACTTCAGTCTGACCCTACCCCAATACCAGTGGATGACCTGCTAACGGGCTGCAGAGGCAACTATCCGTGAGTGGGGCCATACCGAATGGTCTTCAGTTGACACCATGTCAAGCGGGTGCCAAAACTATTTTTTCCCAGAAGAGTCATGGGCCTAGAGAACTGGAATGCGCTCTCAAAAAGCTCCCTGGATACATCTTCATGCGAACCTTTGGTTGAAAGTAAAGGCAAGGCCTCTGCAAAACTGCAAGTACAAACAAGTACAAACCCTCAGAGAAAGTGGGTCTTCCCATCCTTTTTGGAGGGAGTGACCCGTGGGGTTCCTGGGATCCACGTGCACTTTTACAAGCTAGTGGCCAAGACAGGGCTCATGGTTTGCCCACCTGTTGTTTCCCATTGACTGGCTACGGTTCTGATAATTGCTTTCTTGCATCCTTTAAAAGGACAAAGGTGCCATGCCCACATTCAGGGCAGGGCGCCAAACTGATGCGTGAACATGTCCTCTGTGTAGTCTCAATGAATGCCTGGTGTCCTCTTAGAGAGTCCTTCAACAGAGATGGAAACGAAGTCGCCGTTTTTAAGGTGTCCCCTGTTTTGAAAGCACCCAACCGTGGGTCGTCCCGGTGCCTTTCTTAAAGTCAGTCGTGACAAAGGCAGTCTCGACAATTGACTGCACAGAGTGGTACTTCCCTGAAACCAGACCGCACACATCCCAGTGCACTTGTGATGATATAATTTGTCTGGAGAGTGGCACGTCCAACTCCTTTCATTCCGCCAGGCGGCTCTTCTGGTCCACAATGTCCACAATGGTGCACCTCACACCCGGAGGCAAAGAGGCTCCGATCGTTCGAGGACTAATTGATTGCTGGGCCATACCGAAAGACATCAGCTGGATTCTCTCCTGAGCATAAGAAAGGAAGCGTATTCCGTGTATCAGGACCGCCTTCCTCAAGCAAGATGGCTGAACCCTATGATAGAGCAGCGACACCTCGAACTTCAACAATTTGTCTATTCAAAGGCCCGAGCAATAAGGTGTCTTCAACAGCTCACCTTTGTACAGTATGCCCAAAACCCCCTCAATCTCAGTCTGCCTTACCACCAGCCAGGGGTTCACTTGACCCACGAAACAACTTGGATGTTTCCCAATACATGGTGGGGCCCAAAGACTGTTTGTTTTCATGTTGGTTTTGTTTAGGCGCCATGAAAAAGGCGGTTCCCGAAGACACACCTTCACTTGCAGGTCATGATCAATCAGAAATAGACATGGCTGCCAGTGACGCTACAACGTTTTGGGCAGAGTCGTTTGATCCCATGTTTTGGCTCTCGCGCACAAGACATGTTTTGGCTCTCAGTGGCAAGCGAAAATGACTCCATTCCCCACAGGATTCATCTGGCCTATCCAATGCTCGACAAAGAGTCGAATGTTTCTCTGTAGAATGAGTAGCAGGGAAACGAACCATCTGTATACATCCCTGTAACTGTCCCCGTAGATTGGTCCTCGAGTTTCTGAGGGATGTATGCTTGGGACACGTCCCTGGCACATACTTTTGTCGCAGGTTGACAAGGGCTAGCATCCTCCTGGGTTTCCCACCGGGATGTTTCGGAGTGCCTCCGGAATGTGGTATGTTTGCATTGAATGCTTGCATAGTTTGACTTTTGTCTTAACCAGAGAGAAACTGATTTTGCAATCAGGCAAAGCATCTTTGTCGCGGGGCTGTTGGTTTCATATGTGGAGTCATCACCCATTGTCAGTTCTCTGGCTGTGGCAAAACCCAACATCCTGAAAAAAAGGAATTTTGAAATGGCAGCCACGTTTGCCGAAACGACCTGGAAACATATGACGGGTTAACCGTTTCGAGCCACGACTGGCAGGACTTAGACCAAAACGCGTCAATTAGGTGGTCCTTTCAGCTCCATCTGCTGTGAGCACCTAATCTCAAACCATCCTGTCAGCGTCTGCTTGTTGGAGAACCAACGGACCACAGAGGATGTGCTCTCCCGCCTGCAGAAACAAAAAATGACGAAGGAGCCGCCTCACCGGTACCACCATTTACTGCCCTTTTCCAACTACCAACATGCACACGTGCAGCGCACCTCACGTACTCACGCAAGCGAATCGATTCGCGAACTCCGAGGCGCATCTTCCCGGCGCAGGGGCCGTAGGTAATGAGCGCCAGCCTTCCAGGCTCCACGAAGCGCTTGAACATGGAGCCGCTGGTTGCCGGGGCCTCGGTCAACTGTTTCGGATCGGAGGCTCAGAAAATCAATAGGTAGGCGTTACCTTTGTCGCTCCTAAAGGCCATATGTGTCCCCTTCCCCGTTCGTGGTAAATACCAATCATAGTCCAATTGGGGTGGGGCCGTTTCTGGAAAAGATCCGGCAAAGTCAGTGGGCGTGTCTGCCAAGAGCCGCGCCATGTCTTCTTTGCTTCCACGCAAGATGCACGAGTTTGAGCTGAGATGGCTACGGGGGGCATTCAAGTGGCAGGTGGGAACTCTCCTTCAGCTGCTCAAAACTCCTCCTGGCAATTGCTGGGTTCAAGGGGTGGGGATGTGGTGATGCGGAGTCCTTTGCTGGTGGCTGGGGTTAGATAATGTTTCAGATCCCTAAAATACTCCCACCCATCAAGCTATTGGCCCTGTTGCACAAAGTAGGTGCGCAAGGGAGCCGGGCAACGGAAGTATTTTGGGGGTGCCGTGAAAAGAACTTTGCCCCCCCCCCCCCACCCAGGGTTTGAATCAGCCAAGGTCTGACAAAGCTTGTGCAAGTAAACCCGTGGCGGGTCCTGATCTGGGTGCAAACTTGTGGCTTGTCATGGCCAGGACAAAACCAATGCAGTGCACTGCAGCAAAAGCACGCAACAGCCGCAACAGCCCACCGATAGAATGCTCACCTGACCACCTAGTCCCACAACATTCCTGTTCCGGTTCATACTGTTTTGCCAGCTGCATCCAGCCGAAACCTATCGCGCCGAGCCAGCGGACTTTATGGCAGACCCCACATGTCCCTCCTGTGAAGCTGCCACCTGAATAACCCTCTGTGTCCCCAGGTTTACAGTGAGTGGCAAACTTCAAACGGATTGCTTTGTTCTTGAAGAAAGGAGAGAAACTATTGCGACAAGAAGCCCTGGGGCGATACACTCTCCCACGCATCCCACGTACATGCCCATAGCTGTTCTGGGGTACGCTCCAACAGTGCGTAAGAGGATTCCGAGGGCGTCGGGCCCGCGGCGGTCAAAAATACAGTTCGGGCACTTGTTTCGGAGTGGGAAAAAAACGAGCTAGACATTTTATGTGCCTGAGCATGTCCTCTGCATTCGCCACCCACCACAAATGACATGAACATGCCAGGATAGCCTCGAAGTCCGAGGCAAAGCATGGTGGCCCCCCCCCCCAATCCTGGCCCCCGCGTCCTTCAAGGACTCCACGAAGGCCTTGCGGTGCTCACCTCGAGCGTGGTCACTCGACTTTGAGTGGCTGCCCAGACGAATGGAAATCCAGGCTGAGCTGAAGAGCATCCATGACATGCGGCAAAACTCGGCAAAAGCAAGCCTGAGACCCTCAAGTACCGGGAAGCCATCATGAAACGTGGAACCACATGCAGAAAGCAACAATGGAACGCGGCAACACCCGAAGAAAGCAGCCATGCGGTAACATGCAGGAAAGCAACCACGGCAGTGGGCTGATCCACACGTCCTTCCTCCTGCGTACTGCATGGTTGGCGCTTGTGACTCCCCCAAATCCTAAGTTTTGTTAATTCCAGGCATGGACGTTTCCCTGATAGGGGACCCCCACTCACAGCTAACTCAGTTGGCTTGTGGTCTGCTTTGTCAACCAACCAAAAGGTGGTCCCCGATCCGAGGCCCAACTAAAAGATCGCAAGGCGCTACTCGCTGGGCTCCCCTGCGCATGAGGCGACCGACTCCAAGGCCATCCCAAAAGATGGCGTAGATAAACCTCGGCATCGGCGCCTCGGTCCTCTACTCATCGAACGGGTTGCTCACCAAAATTTGACCACTCACGTGGCCTGTTGCTTTCCGGCCGAGTGCTCTTCCGCGCACTCACTGTCCAGGGTGCCGGGCGCTAGGCAAAGATAGCGGGTGGGAAGCAGCCAAGAGGCCAGCAGCAGCAAAAGCACCTTGCGTTGCGCGAGGGTTTGTTTCTTTCACATCTCAAATGGGGGAAGATGCACTGCAGGCCAGGTCAGCTTTAAAGATTAAATGCCCTGCAGGGCCCCCCACTGAAAAACAAAAAACCTCCAGGGGGTGATCTCCCCGACAGCACCAGAATTCCCTGACACCCCTCTGGAACCGTCCCTGAAAGCTGGCCCAAACCACCCCAGAGCCTATCTGGGGAGAGATCCCATAGCTTTCAGCTGCTGGGAAATAAGGCCCACATTTTGTGATAACGTAAGTTCAACATGAGATCCCATAGAAACAAACGTTGAGATCTCCTAAGCAACGCCAAGGCCAGCACAAAGAGCAGCGCGAAGTTCTGCGTCGGGCGCGTCCTGCACAGAAGTCATATCGCACGACATGCAGAACTGCGAGACCACTTGCTTTGCCACCTGGGACCCGTTCGGAGGTAGGGGGGCGTTGATGCCTCTGTCCTGTCTTTCTAGCGAGGAGTCCGCTAAGAAAAATGGACCGATCGCCCAAATGCAGCCAGAGCGGCGCTCCCAGCAACAGGTTCTTCCTGCGCTCGTACCAGTCCATCCAATACCTCGCTGGCAACCCATGAGGTATCGAATGCACGGGGAATAACTAATTACTAACATGTTGCACCTACACTAATAAAGTCAGACATGTTGGGCCCCTTTTTGGAAGGTTAAATGAAACTCCGACGACATATGGTTCCTGAGCTTGAGACACACCCAGCTGTTAAAATTGCGACGAGAAGACACTGCCTTAACAACTTGGCCTTCAATCCAAACCCAGCTAAAGAACAAAGCGCGCTAAACACACACGGAAAACACAAATAAAGCCGACCTATCTTACAAAGGCAAAAAGTCCCACACAACAGCAACCCAGCTGTTCTGCCCACGTCGGCAGGTAATGACTCACAACCTAACTAACGTGCGTTGCTTTCGGAACAGCTAAGAACTACCGCTCCCCAGCCCAAGTCTCAGCGGTCAGCCCAATCCCAAGGCGGGTTCGAGGGGCTAGATCCATCCGGTCTATACGCATCTTGTGGCCCTCCAGGAATCGACGAATCGACCCAAAGTTACGATGTGTGAAAGCAAACATGGAAACCCTTGCCATATGGCATGTTGCGTGCCCACAAGCTAAGCTGAGAATTTGCTCGCACTTTTTCCTCAAAACAACTTGAAGAGATCAACAGAGCTACCAATGGGAGAAGGTCAATCTCACCACATACACAACCAACCGGTTGATACAGTATGTGCATGTTTTTCAAAGTAGGGATCGTCTTAGATGGCTGGTCTATTTTTGCGTTACCAATCAAAGCCATTTTAAAAGGGTACTCCCCATTTTGAGACAGACACGCATTGACATTGTGATCTGTGGTGAAGCAAGTGATCGGCCCATGGCAACATTGAAAACTTCTGGCGCGACGTGTCTGTGACCTCCAGCAACTTTGGCTTGTAGACGCTGGACAATTGCAAGATCTTGGCAAGGAAACCATAGGAGTGACGCCGCTGCACAGCTGGAAGAAAACTGCTGTCTATTCATCCAAGAAAGTGGATTCCCGTTGCAGCTTCGCAGGTGGCACCACTCTGAGACTTTGCTGGACCCTCATGGCAAAAAAATGGCGGCTGGTCGCAGACAAAGGAGGGCCAGCGAAATTTCGACGGCTAAAGGAAAGCACCGCAGAAAACTGACACAAGTGGGGGGCCTATATATCCCATCGCCATATGAAACCCGCCGGGATGCTCCATCTGCCGCTGCAGAAAAGCAAAGCGCAGCAGGTACCTGGCCCAAATATGCCCACGGTTGCTGGCATTGGGGACCCCACTTTGACATGGTGGTTGAAGGAAGGCATGGCAAAACAGTCATGCGTGGGGGTCAGCAAGTTTAGGAAACAGCCCTGTTGCAAAGGACGGAGCAACACAAAACAAGGCAAATCAGCAGACCAGCTAGTGCCCACTAGCCAATGACAACCCAGCCACGTTGCAAGCCCCCCACGGCCACCTAAGCCGGCGGTCGTAGCAAACCCCGTGCCCAGCTGGTCACCCGCCCCCTTCCAAAACACCAAACTCTTCCAACAAGGGAAGCTTGGGAAGGGATTGGGATTCAATGATCCGTTCATTCAACGGTGATCCTAGCCGCAGGCTATGATCACGGCGAGGAGTCCTCAGCCATCTTTTGGATGGCTTCAAACAGCAACCAACAGAGAAACTGACCGTTTACAGCCCCTATTTTTGGAACCGATGTATCGGCTGTTTGGCTGATTGTTCGGTGAGTCACGAGGAAGCCAACCACTAAACTTTGACACACAGCCTCCCCACACAACGTTCCTTGTATGTCTTCCTTAATCATCACCTCTAGGGGCAACTCCATCAGCCTCAGCCTGCGTTCAAAAGGCGATGTCAGGAACCCACAAAAGCAATGGGCGCACTGCTGGTACATGTCGTGGAAAGGAGTGCGCGCAAGGCCGAACTCCAAGCCCTTTCCCTGGCGAATTCACAGAAAATCGCTGTGCGCAAAAGCAACAAGAGAAAACCAAAGTTGCTGCCCCGCGGCTATTGCTCCCAGTGCAAGAAACTTATCGGTTTGTTGGCTACTGGAAAATCAACTTCTAAAGATCCGACCCAATATCAGACAAGTGTGGGTGTGACTTGTGTTTGACAGGTACCAATTCTGAAATTGCGCTGGGCAGCCAAAAGCGAGGTGGAAGCAGAACACAAGAAAGGGTCTCTCCAGAACTGTTGATTCCTTTTTCGTTTGCCCTCAAAAAATCCTGAAAGCGGTACCCTCCAAAAAAGACTCATCCAAATGGAGGCTGCAAGGAAACGGGCCACTCGTTACGTTGATTAACCAGCCCATGAGACATCTCAGTGTGGTCACAAGTTGAGATCTGAAAACTTATCCAAACCTGCTTGCCAAGGCCAGCAGGACTGTCTGGGGACAAAACCACAAATACGCAGACTTTGCCAGCGTGCCTTTGTCAGAGTGCATAAACGCAACGGTGCACGTGTGACAATGTATACACAGCTGTGGGTGCATCTGTTTGTGTGTTTGCGCATGTGGATGGAAGGATGGAAGGATGGAAGGATGGAAGGATGGAAGGATGGAAGGATGGAAGGATGGAAGGATGGAAGGATGGAAGGATGGAAGGATGGAAGGATGGAAGGATGGAAGGAGGATGGAAGGATGGAAGGATGGAAGGATGGAAGGATGGAAGGATGGAAGGATGGAAGGATGGAAGGATGGAAGGATGGAAGGATGGAAGGATGGAAGGATGGAAGGATGGAAGGATGGAAGGATGGAAGGATGGAAGGATGGAAAGAAGGGTAGAAAGTTGGATGGGCAGGCGGATGGAGTGGATGGGCTGCATTGTGTGTATGATGCGCGCACGGTTATGCATGAAAATGCGCGTGGCTAATGCAAAAGTCGATGTTACACACATGCACACACACACACACACCCACCCACGCACGCACGCACGCACGCACGCACGCACGCACGCACGCACGCACGCACGCAC